CTCACGAGTCATGAGCAGTCCTAGTATAGTCTTGCGGATCGGTGCAGAGATGTTCGTACTTATCTTCGAGAGCCTATAAGGTGTTTGGAAACCTCTTTCTTTATCTCCTATCGTGCAACTGATATTGTACAAAGTATGTTTCTATTTCTCTCTCACATATGGTGAGAACGTACACGGCAGATGTACCAAGGGGTGGAGAGGAGTTGCTCCCCCATTGCTAGAGGCCGAGGCAGAGGCCGGGGGAGGACTCCAGCTCCTATTAGAGGATGAGGTTGTCCTAGAGTTGCTCCCGTTGTACTACTAGTGGATCCAGCGGAGGATACCGTTATTGAGGAGCGAGATGAGGCGCCTACAATTGAGCCGACCACGACAAATATCATGAGTGCACCAAGATTTTAGGAGGTCACATGCCATATGTTGCGATTCATGGACTTTATGACACAGGCTAGTTTATTTCCAACAGACCTAGGCACATCTCAGGCAGGAGTGGGAGCACAGACCTCTACCGCTCAGGATCCAAGGCATGCTGCTGCCATTTATTTGACCCCAAGTGCACTACCTGCGGGCGAGGTCCAGCCAGTTGCAGCGGCTGTGCCAAAGCTCGTACCAGTCGCGACCATTGAGTAGCAGAAGCGGCTACACAGATGGACTATGTCACGCCCCGAACCTGGGGGCGAGACCGGCACCCGGTACCTCACCTAACCTAGCGTACCAAATTGTGACTAAGGGAATCTGAATATATAATGTCATAATTTGGCCATGGGGCCACATTGTAAGCCAATTTGCGAAGTAAAATATAAAACTGAACGGAAACTAGCGCTGACTAAACATTAATATAAAGCTGGGCCGACAAGGCCATCATAACTACTACAACTGATAAACCACCAAAATATACATACTAGGCTTACAAGCCAAACATACTACACTAACTGACAAGATATGTCTACAAGCCTCTACTAATGGATGCATTGTAATCGGAACAGGGCCCCGACCTACCCACAACATATATACATACATACAGAAGATGTACATGAAAACCTAGACCCGATAACTCTGAAGGATGTGGAGCTTACCGATCAGGCTAAACTCTGGAAACACCTACTAAGGATGTCTACCCGTCTGTCTATCTGAACCTGCACACATGAAATGCAGCGTCCCCAGAAAAGGGACGTCAGTACAAAATAATATACCGAGTATATAAGGCAATAACATAATTGAAAGCTGAAACTAAACTGATAATATAATAACTGAAAGTAACTAGGAGTCAAAGATAATATGGAGATATACTTACATGCCGATACTGACTCAACTCCTTCAATATAGTAAGTAAAATAAATGCCTGGCCCTATAAGGCTCGGTACGTGTAACTACTCGGCCATAGTAGGCTCGCTCATAGGCGCTCGGCCATACTAGGCTCTGTATCTCGGCCATCCTNGAAAATAATACTCAATTGAATATAAAGTCCCGATAAGGAAAAATACTGTAACTTCTGAGACTAGGATAATGTGAATAAATTCAAGAATACGAATTTCTCTTTGTGTTGCGTTATCAAATATATGTAGTTACGGGATCATGTCAAAATGAAGGAAATGTTTAGCATTAACATACCTTATAACAATATTTCCAATTACCAAGTTGAACTCGCCTCTTCTCACCTTAATCTACAACAACGATAATAATACTATCATTAAGTTACGAAGGGTACAACTATAGCACAATGAACGACAAGCTTATTTTGTATTAAAACGGACATCATCTCCCCTATAATCCTTACTTCCTCCAAATTCAAGATAACACCAACACCACCAAAACAACAATAACAACATATATACATTATCTTCCAACCTTATGTATACCACAAAATACTACAAAACAGCCCAACACACCCCAATCTCTTCATACATCAAAATGACCACCGGAGTAGTGTCAAACAACCCGAAAATGTTACGACGAACAACCAGCCCAAAACCCTACATTTATGTGGTGTTTCTCCACACCCTTACTTCTCCAAAACTCCACAAAATAGTAGTAAAACACGCAGCTCAACAACACACAAAAAAGTTCGCTACAAGTGAATAACTCGAACTCACGGCTTCGATCACCATCCTGTGAGTTCTTACAAATATAGAACGACTTACTATGCATTTAAATCAGAAAAAATGGATGAAATAGAGCAGTAAACTTACTTTATTTGTTGAATAACTCAGCTCCTATCTTGGTTCTTCAAACTCTAAGTTTTTACCTCCAATTAGAACTTGAAAGGGAGTGAAAATCAATTGGGGTTTGTGGGAAATTTTGGGAGGATTTTTGCAGAGCTTATGTCTGGTTATTATACCCTATTATCAGTCTAATATATGAAGGAGATAGGCCTTTAAAAATGCATCTTTGGACGACCCGAAGTGGCCCATATTTGGACGATCCGAACTGACCCATTTTTGGATTCTCGTTTAAGCAAGTAGGTGACAGTATGCGCAGTCTCGTAAAAACGCTCATATCTCTCTACTCCGATATCGTATTGACAAACGATATAATGCGTTAGAAAATAGACTCATAGATATTTAATTTTATGGGTGGAACACCCCATAAATCTAAGTATATTGTGCGAAAATCGCAGTTACATTTGACCCAAAGTTTCAGTAAAACCTATGAACGTAACTTGTGATGACTTTCATCGACTTTTGTTCCACCGCTCGCTTGACTTCAAAACATAACACACAACTATTATACGACTAAAATAACTCATAACATAACCTCCTTATCATGTTAAATATCCTGGTCTCACCCCACAAGTACATGTTATAATATTCTCAACTTGTCGACTTTTGACGAAACATTATTTTCTTCAATTCCTTTAGCTTCTGAACCTTCCAACCCTCTTTGTACTTGTTGTTCATGATCTTCAATATTTGTAACTTCTGAGGTAACATGATTAACTTACTTTATATATTTTCAAAGATGATCTCATTTTTGGTCATACATTAGTTTGCTCACGGAGCACTTTTACATACGAAAATATAGGGTGTAACATTATTTCCCCCTTGGGAACATTCGTCCTCGAATTTTTACTCTTAGAGACTTTGAAAATTTGTTTTTTCCAGAGTCTCCTCCGTACACTAGACTAAAATTAACCTACATGCAGCCAGAAAATATACTACGTATGCCACACATGGCCAATGTCTATAAATAGCAACACTTTGCCTCACACAGTCATAAATTATAAATACTGAAAGTCAAGAAATTAGAGCTTACCTGATGACCTACTAGCCTGAATAGAGTTATGTTGTAGCATCCCATCTCGAGCCATATATTCAGTTTGAAATAGGTGGGGGTATTTAGACTTCATTTCTTCCTCCGTTTCCCACATCATCTCTTCCACATTCTTGCTTCTCCATAAAACCTTCACGGAGGCTACCTCCTTATTTCGTAACTTGCGGATTTGTCGGTCTAGGATGACAACTGGAATTTCCTCATATGACAAGTCCTTCGTAATCTGTACATTATCTGTGGGCACCACTCTAGTAGGATCGCGAATGCACTTCCGTAGCATAGATACGTGAAAAATCGGATGGATTGACTCCAATTCTGAGGGCAATTCTAACTCATAAGCTACTTGGCCTACTCTCTGAATGATCCTATAAGGCCCAATATATCGTGGGCTAAGCTTGCCTTTCTTGCCAAACCTCATTACGCCTTTCATAGGTAATACCTTTAAGAATACCCAGTCATTAACCCCGAACTCTAAGTCTCGTCGTTGCACGTCAGAATATGACTTTTGACGACTCTGAGCTGTCAACAGTCGCTCCCGGATAAGCTTTACTTTCTCTACGGCCTGCTGAACTAGGTATGGCCCATGTAACCCAGATTCTCCAACATCAAACCACCCTATAGGAGATCTACACTTACACCCATGCAAAGCCTCGTACGGAGCCATCTGGATACTGGAGTGGTAACTGTTATTATATGCAAACTCGACAAGAGGTAGATGTTCATCCCAACTTCTTTTAAAATCCAACACACATGCTCGTAACATATCCTCGAGCGTCTGAATTGTGCGCTCGGCTTGTCCATCAGTCTGTGAATGAAAAGTTGTGCTAAGATTCACCTGAGTTCCTAGACCTCTCTGAAATAACCTCCAAAAATGTGCTATAAACTGGGCCCCACGGTAAGATATAATAGATACTGGTACTCCGTGTAGCCGCACTATCTCCTTAATATATAACTTTGCATAATCTTCTGTTGTATATGTAGATATGACCGGTAGGAAATGAGCTAATTTTGTAAGCCTATCGACTATCACCCATATAGAATCGAACTTACGATGAGAACGAGGTAAACCCGTGAAAAAGTCCAAGTTTGTCACGCCCCGAACCTGGGGGCGAGACCGGCACCCGGTGCCTCACCTAACCTAGCGTACCAAATTGTGACTAAGGGAATCTGAACATATAATGTCATAATTTGGCCATGGGGCCACATTGCAAGTCAATTTGCGAAGTAAAATATAAAACTGAATGGAAACTAGCGCTGACTAAACATCAATATAAAGCTAGGCCGACAAGGCCATCATAACTACTACAACTGACAAACTATCAAAATATATATACTAGGCCTACAAGCCAAACATACTACACTAACTGACAGGATATATCTACAAGCCTCTACTAATGGATGTATTGTGATCGGAACAGGACCTCCGACTTACCCATAACATATATACATACATACGGAAGATGTACACGAAAATCTAGACCCGATAACTCTGAAGGACGTGGAGCTTACCGATCAGGCTAAACTCTTGAAACACCTACTGAGGATGTCTACATGTCTATCTATCTGAGCTTGCACGCATGAAATACAGCGTCGCAAGAAAAGGGACGTCAGTACAAAATAATGTACCGAGTATATAAGGCAATAACATAATTGAAAGCTGAAACTGAACTGATAATATAATAACTGAAAGTAACTGGGAGTCAAAGATGATATGGAGATATACTTACCTGCCGATACTGACTCAACTCCTTCAATATAGAAAGTAAAATAAATGTCTGGCCCTATAAGGCTCGGTACGTGCATAGCACGGGCCCAATATTTTGAATTTTGATGTCGTTTTGTTAGTGTATAATCTTGCATCCACATAGTGATCCTAAAAAACTATAAATGATTTAGAATAGACATAAGTTCACAAAGACGGAAGCACAATTCTAACCTTGGAAAATAGTGATAAACATAGAACACTGTATATTGTCTCCCTAGACTTATTGAAACCGAGCAAATATTTCCTTTTCTTCTACTCCCTTTATATACAAAATCAAACTCAAGCTACGTAATCAACCAAATGTATTTGCTCTCCATTTCCTACCCACCATCATATGCTACATAATCAACCAAATGTATTTGCACTATGAACAAAAGAGATAACATAGTTTACTGGAAACATCTACTATTAGGTACTCTTCACATAACTTCTTGTCATGTTCCGAAAAGAGAAATAAGAAGTCAGACATTTTTGAGATAGAAAACATTAACTGATAAACGTCCCATAGCAAGAATTGAAAAATATCATGACATAAAGACATGTGTGTATGCATATGCATGCGCGTGTGTTTGTGTGTGTGTGTGTGTGAGAGAGAGAGAGAGAGAGAGAGAGCGTATACACAAACCAATCTGTAAACAAACTACTCGGAGTAAGAATTGAGTTATGGCCCTTTAGAGTGGAGGGCACAAAGTAAGTTGCCAAGACACTGTTACTACAATCTAAAGATGCATCGGAAATCTAATCTTTTATTAAAACAGTATAGGATCTTCCCATCCTTGAGATTAAACCACTTAAGAATTAACGAAAAATAAATGTGAAGCCTTATGTTTTCTTTGATAAGCTAATGCCGACAACTATATGAAATGCAAATAATGTCCAGAAAAGTTGGTCAATACATTTACTTACCCTCAATTAAAGAAAAAAATACATTAAAATCATATGACTACCAAATAACACAAAAAGTCCATTCGTTATAAAGAACATATAAGGATATGAAGTGAATATATCGATACATTTTTTGTCATTACTGCATAAATAAATATGGACTGATATTAATATTTCTCTTATGTTATTCCAACATTATATTAGTGGGAGCTTTGTCAATATAAAAAATTTTGATTGCTCATCAAGAAAAGGGAAATATAAAAAAGTGATCCACTTTGCTTTTCTCAATTTTTTCAGACTTTAATTCGAAAGTTTCTTCTTTGCTTCACGACATTGATAAAATGATTTATTTATTGTATTTATCACATAAAGTATCAAACTGAAGTTCCATAAGTCAAATATCCAAAGAAAACTGAGTATATGGTTTAATTCAAGTACAAACTCTTCAGGACTATTGCAATATAGCACATTTTTTATATCTAAATATATTCAGTGAGCTGGTAGTGTTCAAGAACCAATACATACCTCGGTCATGGGGTTCTTTTGAATCTCCCTTTGATGAATGATCAGCTTCTACCAGAGTCAACAAACGAAAATAATTTAGAGTTCACGAAATATTGGAGAAGATATAAACAAACATAAAATTTTATTCAAGATATAGTTAGCTCAAGATGGTACTAACTCTATAACTTCCCAATCAAAAGTTAATCAACGAACTTCTAATGCTTGATCAGCCAAGTACCATTGACGATTTTATGTTACTCTGTCTGGAAGAGCACCTTATATTTGAAATGACACTCAACCTAGGTAATATATATATTTTTCTTTCTCAAATTTTTGGTTTGTTACTGTCACCGCTTTTGCATAAACTGTACTTTTTTATAAGTGTATTTGTATATGTAATTTGCAAAGACTTATAAATCAAGGAAACAAACAAAGTTATACCATGTCACAGTTACCAAATATACTCTACAATACTTATGCAAAACTATCCTTGATTCCTTATTTTATTTGTCCTTAATCTTAGTAGATGAATTCATAGAACAGAAAATATCTCATGGTAATAATACAGTGTGCTAAAGAGTTATTGTAATTCAACTCACAAATAAAACTCAATATCTAACAATAGTATAATTTTATGAAGTATTTAATTCCGAAAGATAATACTACTACATGCTATTGTATCAAAAATCACCCTACCTATCTAGCCAAATGAAAATTAAAAAAACTCTTGTAGTCACAAATAATAAGCAACATCAAAGCTAGAACTTTCAGATATGAATATAAAACCTCCTCGATCACTAGTTATTTCATGCATTAGAATACTATCTTTTCTAAAAAGGAGAAAAGTTTTTGCATGCTAGATTTAGTCACCATACGTTCCATAATATTAAAAGAATATAGCTGATCATTAAACTTGTAAGTACAATATGAAAGCGATAAAATATATTAAAAGCACAAAAGTAAGCACACCAGTTGATTCAAGTAACTGAATGCGGAGAGAGCTAGGCCTTACCATCAATAATCATAATGATAATCATAAACATGGAGAAAATAACTTATACCCAAAAAAGAAGTGGAGAACAACATGTTGAGGCCTTGAGGGATAGAAAGAAGTGTACCAAGATACATAGTTCACAACCTTTGACACTTGAAGTGATGGAGGAGGACCTTTGAGTACGCTTTCATGACCTTGAAAATAATCCTTTTTGGGGTTTTCTATAATAGTTTTAATTTACAAAAGTTAAAGTAATCATCATGGAAGAATGTTTTTTTATACATACTATATGTATGTAAAAGCATAGTGCATGTAGGAACGCAATAATATTTTCCATTGATAAATACACAAACCTGATAACCCATGTGCATTCGTGTGCTGAACTAACAAGAGAACAAACCAACTATCAAAAAGTAACCAAGTGAACCAGTCAGCCAAGTATCCAAGATGGCAAGATCAATCTGTCACTTGTACTTTCGGTCAAAATATCTAAACAAAATATAGACTTAAAAAATATTCCAATGAAATTGCATAAAAGTGGAAAACAAAAAAAAAAAAAGAATGGGTGAAGATAGCATATGCTGATTTAGTACCTAACTACATGAACACATCAACTGATAATAAGACCATTTAAGCTTAAGACAAACAACTATAATTTATTGTTGAATACACATTATATTAGCAAATGCCAACAAACCGAGAATAAAAAGTAAAATAAATAAATTAAGCTACATCCTTGGCTCAGATCTCCTCTCATACATCCCCCCCCCCCC